AAAATGGCACTAAAACATACTGGAAACATTTATCTTACATTTTGTCAGATTCAGGGATCAACTGATATAATCATATTCATATGACCCTGAAAAGAATATAAGAAATCAAGTAGACCGATAACTAAGTGTCAAAATTTAGAATAACCAGTGGTGGAGTGAAACATTTACTCAAGTACTATACGGAAGTACAATTTTGAGGCATTTCCATTCTATGTTACTTTATGCTACTATGCATTTTGGAGGTAAATACTAATTTGATAACTTTAGTCACTTTGATTCACATTATTAATACAAATATAAATCAACTAATACATTATGACGTATTATTATAGATTAAGCTACCCAGCAGTATAAAGTAATCAAACTTAGCTCCACCTTTACCAGCTGCAACCACACATAAGTGATGAACACATTTATGCATCAGTAATTATAATACAATAATATAATATACATTATTCTGAAATGGGCCAATCTGGCCACTTTTATTTTTGCTTCTTAAAGTCTATTCTGATACTATTACTTTTGTGCTTTTTCTTGTAACAGTTTACATTTTTACAGTGACATTGCTACTTTAACTTAAGTAGCAAAATATCTGAGTACTTTTAAGTGTACGTTTAATTAAATGCTGCAAATGAGAACTTTTCAACGTTATTGTTAAACTTATTACTCTACTATTAATCATGACATGTAACCAACAGATAGAGCTGTAGGCGGGACACTCAGCCAGACTACAGACAGAGAGTAAGAAGCGACTGCATCAGAGCCAAAGTAGCACATTTTTTATTTATTTCATTAGCTTTGAAAAATCGGATTTGAAAAAGATAAAACCAATAAACTGAAAAATGATGAATATCGGATCCGATACAGACTGTTAAATATCCCTACTCAGACAGGCACTTCATCTTCCTGACATTCTTCTGTTTGGAATCCATAGTACTGTATTTCTACATATCCGGTTTAACTTCCTTTGTGGGAGATCCAACTATTCGATTCATCCAGTTACTAAAATAACCGATAGCTGCAGCCCTTTCCTTGACACCTGCATACTGTGATAGAACTTCCAGCCAGTGCAAATAAGCCTTGGTTTCATTAGAAGTCTGCAAGGTGAATTGGACGAAGAGAGGGGTGAAATAGAGCGAGTGTGTGCCAGAGAGAGCAAGAAATGGTCCACACTGCACTTTGATAAATAATAGGAAATAACATAATCAGCCAGTATGTCCCCTGATAACGAAGGACAGGCACTTTGACAGGACTGAACTCAGGCTAAGACAAGTTAGTAGTAAGAATACACATTTGTCTTGTTGCCATGCTGCTGTAAGAAGGCTCCTTTCAGCAGTCTGCCACCAGTATGTGCATGTCCACTGGCTGAGTTTTGCTGACTTTCATTTGTTACTATTTTTTTAATTTGGTAAGTAACCAAAATGAAATAAGGACCTAAAAACACAATTTGCTGTTCAGTTTTGCTTTCTCTCACACACACTTTCTACTTCCCTTTTTTCTCTTTCCGTTTCACTCACTTCTTTAAACTCATTTTTCATCCCTTTTTTCAACTAGGTACAGAGCCTATTAACAGTGTTTGTTCCATTTGGACTTACCTACTTTCCTGTACTTGATCAACAGCAAAAGTCAAAAAAATGAATGTCTTTAAAAGTACATACATTACAGCTGCAGCAGGTAATTTCTATAAAAATATTTTGTGTCATATTTCTGAAACTTCTACTATATCCTGACAGTAGTACATGAGAGATAATCTGCGAAAAAAATCAGGTTCCACTGGTACCTTATAGTGCTCCTAATGGCATTTGCAAGATTCCACCGGGCCTGAACAAAAACAACCTGTCAGAGCCCAGAAAGATAGTTTATTGTAAGTCTCATTCTCAGGATGTCAAATACAGATGGTTTGGGACCCTGGGAATGAGACTCAACAATCAACTATCTTCAAGCTTCCAACCCAAAGAGTCTTTATATTTTTCTCAGCTTGATTGGTGGTTTTTGTTCAGGCCCAGTGGATTCTTGCAAATGCCAGTAGGAGCACTAGAAGGAGAAACCTAATTCATTTACAGATTATTTGTCTCATGTACTACTCTCAGTGAGTTTCAGCAAATAAGACAAAAAACATTTTTAAATAAAAGTTACCAACTGCAGCTTTAGGTACAAATGTAAAACACAAAATGATCTGACCTTTTTTCTTTTTTGGGGGGGCTTTCGGTGCCTTTATTTGATAGGACAGTTGAAGATAGACAGGAAAGGGGGTAGAGAGTAACGGGGGGACAACAGCAGCGAAGAATCTAACCCAGTCTGCTGAAGTAAGGACTCAGCCTACATGGAACCTTTTTATTTTCAATGACACACCTGAAACATCCCTGCAGTCACACACACGGTTGAATGGCGATTGTTAAACATGCCTGTATGTGGGAGGTAACAGCTGTCCACATGAACATAAACGATACAAATCTATGACAAGGTTGTAGATCCGGAAAAGAAGAATACAAGAGGCACTGTATGGTACAGTGTGGCCAATCATGAAAAAAACAGAAAGACTACAGCACTGTGAATCTACAGGGCAGGCCTCCCTCAAACACAAGCTGTCTGTAAGAGAGCACCAATGAGGCCAGCCACCAAGAGGCCTATGTCCTCAAGCAGCCTCAGCAATCCGTGGATGACATGAGAGGAAAGTGTGCATATAGCAACTGTTGCCTGGGTTCTTCAACACTTGTAGCTTTATGGCAGACAGGCAAAAAGAGAAGCACATCTCACATGACACTTGGACTAGTATTTGCTAGAGGGCGTATAGAAGACTCTGTAACAAAGTGGAAGTAGGCACTACCGTCTGTGGAGACCCAATGCGTTTTGGTCACGCAACCTAGAATTTGCGACCATTTTTTTTTTTGCCATTATTAGTACTGTAACCATTATTTTTTACGTTGACTCCCCACAAAAGTGATATCTAAAAAATGACTAAGAACTGCAAGTGGGAGGGAAGGAACATAAAATCTTCTGACTCATGGAGTGGAAGATTTTATTTTAGATTATGGTGGAGAGTTTGGCCCCCCAAAAACATGTCTCTGCCAGTGTGACAGTACAACAAGAACCATGTCTAAAATATGTTTTAAAGTCTACATTGTACTAAGAAACACAAACCTTGGGTGAAGAGGCGTGCTCTCTGCGCAGGCAACTTTTTTATTTAATTTATTTTTTTTCAATGGTCTTTTTATTGATGACAAAGTATGTATAAGACAATCACTGTACAGGAAGAAAATTTTAGATTTTTTGTACAACATCCACCCATGACACAACACAACCCCCTGTCCAAACATCCGAACATGGACATACATATACAGCCACTGACAAAAAATTGTAAATAGACAGAATAAAAAAAAAAAATAAATAAAATGATTAACAACCATGCTTAGAAAGAAAGGAGAAAGATATAAAAGATTAATAAGAATTAATAAATGAAAAAAATAAAAAATATAATAAAGTTAAATAAATAAATAAATAAATATAAAAATAAAAAAGGGAGAAAAACAGAGGGGGGGGCTACTCAGAAATTCTTGTTGAGGGTTTCTCATAAAATACCAAGAAGGGGCGCCCCATTTTGTAGAATTTGTTATCTGATCCCTGAATAGTGTATCTAATCTTCTCTAGATTCATGCAGGATATCATGTCTCTGAGCCAATGTGAATAGGAAGGAGGAGCTGGGTCCTTCCACTTAAGTGAAATAGCTCGTCGGGCTAGTAAAGAGGCAAAAGCCAGAAAGTTGAGCATAGCTTTAGGTAAGCTCAAATCTGGAGCAATGCCAACGCGCAGGCAAATCTTAACTGACTTTTACTAAACAGTTCCCATTTCTCTCTGCTGGAAGTCACACAGACAGTATGAGAGAGAGAGACAGCTCATGTGGACAAGGTCCTGGGTTCAAGTCCCAGAGTGATTAAGTCTTCACATACTCTGCAAGCTTCTCAAGCTCTCTTCTTCGGTGAAACCATGCATTGTGCTTGGACCCCGTCAACTGCTGCCTGTGGCTAACTGTATTTGAAGTATCCAGTATATTCACAGTGGAAAAATTACAAAGTATAAATGTATCAGGTAAGTGCCTGCATTTAGACTACAAAAGTGCTTGCATTTTAAATATGATGTTGATAAGTCACAGCAAAGGTAAATGGAAATGAAGGAGCTATTCACTGCAAGAAACATTGGAAAAGAATGTGGGAGGGCTGGTGATTTCACAGGAAAAAAAAGTGACAAATGCTTAAAAATTATTATTTATATATTTTTTTTATTCAAATTAGGCAGCAGTTTTTGCTTGGCAGCTACTGTTGTTGACATTTGAACTGCTCACTCTGGATGAACTACCAGTGGAATACAAGTGTGAAATGTAATCTAATTTCCAAAAATAAAACAACAGAGGCACTTGTAGCCTGCTTTAGCAATTAACACACTTCCAGCTGTTTGTTTTGGAGAAATGCACTTACAATTGTAACCTCAGGTTAGCTTTTTTTTTTCCAGATGGGAAAAATGCTATTCATTTGTTATTATATTATAATGCGTCAATGTGGAGGTCTGGCTATGTGACACTAGGGAAAAGAGATATAGTAAAAGTCATGGCAATATATCGCCTGGCTTACAGCATCGTGACAGATCGCAGTGTATTGGATCATAACCCCTTGTGTGATATGTATCATATCGCCAGATCCTTGCCAGTACACTGTGCTAATTCTAAGGTAACAAAACACAACAATTGTTATTTTCAGGTGATTATACACTAATGAAATAGTACCTATAAGTATTATGTTCAATTTCTGTCAATAGATCCTCTTAAATGTTACACACTGGACCTTTAACATGAGAGCCTCATTCTAGTGAGTAGTTTGGTGTTTAAACGGCTTTAGTAGGCCTATAGGTGGTTTTATATATGGTAAGGAGTAACTTCAGCCCACGAATTTTGGCTGTTGACATGGGAAACATATTTGCCGTGGTAAACAGCGTGTTGTTGAGCCTACCTGATTTTGTAGTTCGGTAAGGTGTGTTTCTTTTTGATGACCCGTTTGAGCTGGTTAACTATGATGGAGGTTAGCTGAGGCAGCGGCCTTCCTTCGAACTGTGACTTCGCCTCAAAATCTACCAGCGGGTCCTCGAGGAAGGAGAAGGACCAATGGGAGAAGGGCATGCGCGTGAACTGCAGCCTCAGCCTGCCCACCACGCGCCTCATCTTAACGAACAGGTAAGCGGACTTCCCAAACACCAGCTCTACGTCGATGGCGAGGTGAAAGCCGCCATTGTACTCGATGTCCACCTCAAAGTTGAGCTCCTCGGGCATACCGTCCTCGTTCAAATGCACCGGCTTCATAAGTTTGGCCGTTTTAAAGACCGGCAGAGAATTGCCCAGGGAAATGTCCCTGAGACTGAGTCCCTCCAGGAGCCGTCCTGCTGTCTTGGTCTGCAGCAGCTCCTCAAACTCCACCTTGATCTTTTTGGTGAGCCAGTGTCTGACCACAGGGGTGTCCCGGAGCTCTCTGAATAGGAACAAAAATATAGCGTTTAGGAAATGGCACGTTTCAGGTTTGTCTGCATCAGCGGGCTCGCTTTGGGAAGGCGGTGGCGGCTGTTTGGGGCTGCCGCCGCTGACAGCCGCTTCCTGCTGCCGGCCTGAGACGGCCTCTTGCTGTTTGGATGCAGCAGATGCTGAGCTGTCCTGCTGCTGCTGGCCTGGTTCGGCATGTTGGGTATTAAAGTAATCCTTCAATGCGTTATCAGGCACTACTTTGACATACTGTTCTGTCCTGCCTGTGGGCTCGGGGTTTCTCCGGTATATCAGCAAGAACTGTAGTATCAACGTAACGAGCGCTCCAGTGAACGCGGAAATCAATATTAAGTAAATCATTGTGAGCCGCTGCCGTCTCAGAGTCAGAGGGGTTTCATAATCAAACGTTCAGCCATGTTAACAAAGCAAGTTCCACCTGGTCGCTCTCAAAGCTGCCATATCATCTGCTTCTTTCCGGAGCTTCAGGCTCTTCACCTGATTGGACGAACGGCTTACGTCCCTGTGCGTAATGACGGAGGCAGAATGTGTTTCTTTTGTTGCGTTCATGGTATGTCGGATTTCTCATCTGCCGATTAGGAAAACCTGTTTGCAGGGTGCGAACTACAGGGGGAGCAAGGGGGAGCTTGGCCCCTCTTAACAATACATGAGCTCTCCTGATTGGGGTAGTTTTGGGGGATATTGACAATATGCTATTTTTGACAAGCTTTTCTACTTTTCTATATTTCCATCATCATGTATCATATGTAAAATTAGGCTATTATTGAT